ATCTGCTTAGATGTTTCACTAATGCTTCATGAGTTTTGTAGGTTATGATTACCCTAACTTATGTATTAGCCGGAATATTGTCGCTGCCTCAGTGGTTTGTCTGGTCAAGCTATACTTTTGGTAACTGGTCTCAGTGTACCACAATGTGGCAAGCAGCTAAAGCAAGAGATTTTAGCGAAAAAAAAGAAGATTGGAAGGTTTGGTGCTTCTGTTCTCAGATGACAAAACATTAGTTTTTCTTCTTTGATTTTTTTTTTTTCTGCAATTATACAATTGAAATTGTTGTGACGTGCATTTAAAGCTGATTAACAAAAAAAGAAATTATTTTTTTTGTTTACAAACTGAAAAAAGTTACATGTCTCAAAGTAAAAAATTTTTAAATTATTTCATATATTTGCAAAACTGCAAAAAACAATTATGAAACCTTTGAAGACAATAATTTTTATATGTCCTAAAAGATACATAAAGAAATAATGTATATGAGAAAGTACCAAAAAAAAAAAAAGTATTCCAAGTAGTTATTGACCTATGCCATCCGAGAACAAAGATGGGATTTGTAACAGCATTTACTTGTTTGCAGAAACTTAACTTCAGATAAAATGATTGAAAAATAATCCTTTGAAGTGATAAACTTAAGCACTTTTTAAAGACATTTCAATATTTGACAAAGTGTTTTTTTTTTTTTTTTGACTAGGAGGAGTAGCTAAAAAGTAGTTTAACAGACATAGTTTTTTTTTCTTCTGCATTTATGTATAATCTTCTAGTTAAGACACCCTTAAGTTTTTTTTCCAAATTTAAAAGAAAGCAACAATAAGAGATAGATGTAGAAAGGTTAATTTACAGATATGTATACTTTTGGAACCCAAGTAAATGTTATTTACAAGCTAAAAAGAAATGTGTTTTGATCATTTATAAAGTGAACAGAGCATAAACTAGCAGAAACTAGCAGAATTATATTTAACTTTAAAGAGAAAACTTTTTCTCACAAATTTTTTTATTGCAGCTTTTCAAAACCAAAAAAAAAGTGATTGATAAGGATTCATCTTTTACAACGATTGAGATTTTAATTAGATTTTAAATTTTCACATACTAAAGCATGTCTTTGCGATTTCCATGCTATTCTTTTTTTAGTAAAGTTATAAGCTGATAAGATTGGCAGAGTTGTACTTAATCAGACTAATAATTCGGCTGTCTACGTGACTATAGTAGAAAGAAAATTTTAAGCACAACAAAAGTGAAAAGTGACATGTGAACAGTTAAAAACAATTCTCATAACTGCTTGCCTAAAAAGCTTCGTCAGTTTCTCATTATTTCTTTTCAAAGTTTTTTTTTCAGTGCTTGAAAATTAAATTTTTCGGCAACCAAAAAAATTCTAATACACTGTCTACAATCTTAGGTCTATACTATTTTTTCTTCAATATGTAGCGTACTGTTAAAAATTATTGAAAGAGCAATTGTTAAGAAAGTGGTTTTTATCTTAAACTTTAGTTTTAATAGAACGATAAGCAGACGATAAGCATAGGTTGCTTTTTAGACCTTTAACGATGAAAGACAAAAACCATCTGCAAAAAGCATTCAGTTTCTTTGCTTAGTTTGTTTCTCGCAACAAGTTTCTGTCAAATACTATTCAGGATGCTTGCTTGATAAACACCTTCCTTGATATGATTTGCTGAAACTGCTCTTGCGTAATCGTCAGTTTAGGAACGAAGGTATACTATATAAGCTTAGTTTGGTTAAAAATATCTAACAAAGTCAATATCTCACAGCATCTTCAAGTAAAGACAATTATAACTTCCTCAGTGAAAGAAGTTCGTTCACAGTCTAAAGCCAACTAAGGCGCTGGTTGCTTGCAAGTCGCTGGTGAACTGGGCTTCTGATTTTTGTTGTTTAATTGACCATCGCTCGAAAAACAAACCTGTTTACTAACAATCTAAATAATCTTTCTAATCAGGTAGCTTAATATAAGTCTTTAAAAGTTGTTTTAAGATTTGCTAGTATTTAGTCTCATTTCAAGATTTCAAAAATCTGTTCTGACCGGAAGACCTTAAAAAGCTGTTGGATTAGCAACGCAACAGTTAGAAAGCCATATAAAAAACAAGTTAACAAGAAAATTACATTAAAAAATTGAGCGGCTACAAAAAAAAATTTAGCAAAATTTTTTTTTATTAAAATTCAAATTTTTTTTTAATGTTGTAATAGTTGAAGTTATCTACGCGTACTTTTTCAAATTTCTCATTCTACGAATAATTATCATATCATACTCATAATTCACATATTGACTTTTTTATTTGATAATTTTTATAAGCTACTCTCGCAAAAATAGTCGTGTGTTATTGAGATATGTTTATCATTATTCTGCATTGAACACTTAAATTTCAGAATACTGTTGTTTTTTGTTCGCTTTTATATTCTTCTAAGTATCGTTACTGAGTCGGTCAAGTGTGCTGCTCACAATTGCTTCAAAGACCTTGCCAGCACTAGCACTAATTAAAATCTGCACCTTATTGGTTCTGTTACAAGTTCTTATAGGTGTGCCATTAAATTCATGAAAAACTTTAAGAAGGTCACAGATAACGATATAAGACTTAACCAACCCTCTCAGATACCCGACTCAAACAATTTGTGTAGAGCAAGCTGCTCAAATAAAATCTGCTGTATCGCTTACGACTCGACATTACAAAGCTGCATTTAGTCACTGTTGATTATAATAAGCTTTTTTAAAGCTGTGCGATAAAATGCGATTTCAATGAGCAAAACAGGTCTTTTTCAAGAAAGTTCTTGAATAAATAGCTCTGTTTCAAGCCTTCCGTGTGGTTTAAATGCACCTTTTGTAAAACAAAATTCGGTAAGAGAAAGCATTAGGTAGTTTAATGCAAGTGGCTCATCGTTAATTGGTGCTTTTTCACCTAGAGCGCTTACTGTAATTTTTCACAATGTCTACTAACCATTTATACATCCTATTCGTTACTGTTAAGATGATAAGCAGCTGCCTATATGCATTCATCATCACTATTTTCTGCGGTATTCAACCACTATGTGTGGTTTTAGTTCTTTATGCCGCTTTCTTTTACCTCCCAGATTTGTTCACTGTCTAACACACATCTGCATAAAATCACCTGTACACGTCAATTTTCTTATTCATACTGTTTTTCAGGCAAGGAAGTGCTTTTGAGTTGTGCACAATTCTTATCGGCAGTTGTGAGTTGCTAGCTCTTTTGGCATCATTTAATAGATACAACTTTTTTGGAAACCGCTTTGAATGTCTCTGAGCGGTTTTAGAAATCTTTCCTGTGAGAAACAGTGAAACTAATAAAAAAGGTTTATAGCATTCATTTTATTTCTGTTGGTTAAGCGGTTTCCCATTATTCTCAAATTTGAGAAAACTGTGACTGCCGCATAATGTAAACGAAAGTTTTATAATCAGCTACAGAGGGCTTCCTAGAAGTTTTTGCATTGTGTTCAGAATAAGGTCAACGAGAAAGAAGTGGAGTGGTAAGACTTATATAACGCCGAAGAAAGCGCGAAACCTTTTTTGTACTGTGAAGTAATGTATACGGCAGTCAGTGACAATAGGTAGGAGAATGTGCGAGATTTTTTAATAGTTTATTAGAGAACAATTTTATCAGAGCCTGGATAAGTAACGTAGAGCAGTTTGCGAATGTTTATTGACTTGTCACCAAAAATTGTAATAGAGACGCTTCACATTCTACAATAAATGCTTTAAGTACGAAGAAATAGAATTTTGCGCTGGATTACCATACACTTTCTGAATTGTTCTATGTTTCCGGCTAGTTTTACTTTTAGAAGCCGCAGCTTAAGTCGTTTGTTAAAGACAGCCGAGTTTAGCAAAAAAAATATATTTTTTCTCCGCTTTGACTGTGCCTGTAGTAAATAGACCAAACAGACCTCTTCAATTTTTAAATTCAGGTGTAAGGTTCATTAATTGGTTAATTTTGAAGGAAGTTTAAGAGCCTGACTGGGAGCAAACCTTTTGTTGTTCAAAGCGTATATCAATTTTTGGAGATACGATTAGACACGTGCAGTTAATAATAGAATTTAGTACTACTTTGTTTTATTTTCAAGGTTTTTCTCTGAAATGTTCTTTTTGCAGTATTTTTTTCAATGGGAAACTGTCTACAGTGTTGCGCATCTACTGACCATGTTCTGGGTGCCGTTCCTAATAGTTGTCATATCTTATGCCTGTGTTGCTGCGTGCCTATGCTTTTATTCATCTACTCCAAAGACTGCCACTCTTGTTACTCAAGGAACGCAGGATACTGAAGAAAGGTTCACTTCAGTTTTGCTTATATATTTGAAATCAGAGAAAAAGGTTTAGTGAATTCCCACATTGAAAATTTTTATCGTTGATTTTATGATCGTAAAATATGGTTTGAAAAGTAGACTAATTTACGACTGTTGATCAAAATTTCCGTTTCTTCATTTTTGAATAAGCCATCAGATATCTAAAAAATTTCATTAATGCACCATTTATTTCTCAATTGCAACAGACCGCAATTAAGTAGTGAATATCTGCTTCTCAAGATTAAGATACCGTTGAAGAACTAACTAGTAGATTTTGACAATCTTTGAAGCTAACTATCTGGCAACCTAATAATTTAAAAACCTTTGCTGATTTCGTGCGAGCTCTAAATTTCGGGTTCTAAAATATTGCCCCACTAAGTAGTTGATCGATTTATGATGAAAAGGATGGTCTACACGATTACACAGGATTTGCAGTTCAGAGAACACGGTGAATGATAATCTGAAGAAGCCTAGAAGAAATATTTTTAATGATATGTGATTTTCTTCCGCAGAGAGCAATCAGTATTGTAGAAGCATATAAGAGACTGAAAGTTTTGAGTGCCAGTTGTTTCATACCAGAAAGTTTGCGTTGAATAGGAAGCGTCAGTTTTAATAAAGCAGAGTAATTTGTTCGTCCCTGAACAGAGTGTTCTGGTTTGCGTGGGTTTCTTAAAGTAGTAAATGAACTACAAATTTTCGTTAGTATTTTGCGGTAAGATGGTGAGCCTCATTGTGACTTACTGAAACATCACAGCTAATGGTTCTTAGTCTCAGGCTCGTTGATTTTCACCCTGCTTCGCTCGTAAAAGAATATCGATATCTTCTGCAGTCCTCTTCGGAGTACTTGTTGGCCCGTCGGAAAGTTGTTGTAAATCAAGACTCTGAACAGTTACGCTTTTTAGGAATTTTCTCGTCTCACGCATCAACGAAATAGCATTGTGCTTCAACTGGAATGAACCTTTGCTGAGATATAGCGAACAACGAACTGCAAAGCCTACTTATTCCTCATTGCGAGTTTAATTTAGTCTAAAATCAGCAAATAAACCTAGTGCACATAGCAATTAGAAAAACAGGCTTCAAAATTCTTTATATTACAAAAAAAGCACATGACTAGACAGTCACATTTTTTTATAGTAATTAGTTCACTGAATAACAAACACGGCTAGCAGAGGTTTAATTTAAATGCTGCAGCACATTCAGTGAAAGCTTGTTTGCTAATGAAATTTTGATAAAAAATTAGTAAATTTTAGACTGCCGTCTACAAGATGATAATCTTTGAAAGTTGCACGATAAAAATTAGAAATTGTTAGTTAAAGACACAGTCTAAAATTATAGTTTTACCCTACTGCTTCATCTATTTTGTTGTCTAATAGCTTAATAGACTAACAACAAGAAAGCTGCACCATTGTTCTTTTGCACGTGTGAAAGTACATCACAGTATTGTATTAAGGAAAAATTAAATACGATGCTAAAATAAAAGAAATTTTAGGACTCAAATACTGGTGGAAAGCGGCACCAAAAGCGAAATCACACAATCTGACTCCGAAAAAGAGCAAGGTATGCAATATATTCGGTACATGTGCTTTTTCAGGTCGTGCCATTCAGAAGTCAAAACCTAGTTTATTTACATCAGTCGTCAAAATTTATAAGTATCAAAACTTTTATGTTTTTGTAAATCTAACTAAAACAAGTATCACTTCTGTAAAACCAAAAAATGCTAGGATAATTTTTGAAATCTCTTCACCAGAGAAGAGCGTTGATGGTAAACAACAGCGAAAGCTGCAAAACGCTACGCAGAACGACGCAAAGGTTGACTGATACTACTTTGCTTTGACTTCTAGCTTGTTAGAATCTGAGATCGACCTGAACCAATTGCGAAATCTCTGTGCTTATGTCTGTCGTTTATGACGACACAAGTATTGAAACACCATTAATTTTTAGAGGCTTGAAAACGGAAAAAAAAAAAAAAATTATTTTTCTGATACAGTACCGGGTAAACAGGTAGCACTTAAAATCTTAAATTATAAACCTGAAGTTAGCTGTAAAGAACATTCTATTTTGTGAACTTTGAAGTAAGTATTAAAGGGCTTATGCAGAAATCAAATGCAGAGTTTGGTTGCCATCCAAAAACTGATAACCACAAAGCATTGTTCGTGACTTCACTCTTTGTGATACTATTTTAAAAATGATCAAAATTAGTCAAGTTTTCCTAGTCTTTTCAGCTTCATTATTTTTTATATTTTATAAAATTTGAATGTCATTACTAAGGTGTTTGACAAGCAAATGTTACTTTGAAACTAGAATTGATAGGCTTCAAAAGAAGTAAAAGACCACCAAATGCTGTAATTTAGCATAAAGTAAAGAGAGCATGTAATGTTCAAAAATAAAATGGCAAAAAATTTTTCCACGGTCTCTCAAGACTTTTCTTACAATTCTTTGTGATTTGAAAATATTTATTAAAAAATTGACATACGGACTAAAATAAGCAAGAAAAACAAAACCAATGCTCAACTTGATTTAAGAAATCTTGGAACTACTTTTATACTTTCAATTTCCTGCTTTATACATAATTCTTCTAAACAATTTTATCAAATTTCAGTGATAAATAGTCATTTTTAAAGCTATATTTGCTTATCAGAATTTAGGTATTTTCTTCTTTCCTTTTTGATAAAAAATAATAAGGCAAAAACATTCTTTTTTTTTCACAGGCTTATCATCTTTTATTCTGCTGACTGAGGTTGTTTCAAACAAACACTATAGCTCAAAATTAGTTTTAGGTCGGTCTAAAAGCATACCTACCTGGCAAGCTACAATGCGAAGTCGGTTATGCCACACAAGCGCCCAGGTGATTATTGCCTATTTGGTCTGTTGGCTTCCCTACAACCTCATACAAATCTCAGGGTATATAAATACTGATGTTGCAATTTTTCTATCTGTTCGCTTTGACAGCATTTTTAAGCTTTTTGTTTTGTTTAATACGTTGGTAAATCCATTTATTTATGGCTTTCGTGTTGATATTTGTTTCTCAAAAATTAGTCTTAAAAAATATATTTTTTTCAAGCGTAATTGCTGATCATTTAACATTTTGTTAAACTAACGATTTGTCATTGCCAATTGTACGATATGTCAAAGTTGCACCGATATAAACTGTCAAATTAAACACTGTTTTGTTGGCTAATCTGGAAGCCTTAAACCGTTGTGTTATTATTCTTTTTCTATTATTTCTTTCTGAATCCCTGTCAAAAAATTGCTTAGTGTTTATTCTATATGCCCGTTAGCAGCTGATTAGTACAACATTTTTTTCTGTAATTTTTTAATTTTCCGTTTTCAAAATTTTTTTCCACTCTCATTTTACACATTCATTATGCATCTGTATTGAAATTGCGTAAACTGAAGCATTATGTAAATATCAAAACCAAGAAATTTTAGAATAATTCTGCTCAACAAGTGCGAATTTATAGATGATAAAAAATAGTAATTATAGCGGTACTGTGGATGAAAGCCCATTATAAAATAAAATACTGTATACAGCCGAAATGTGATCCATTTACGCAATTGAACAACTGTTTTTTCATTACTTTTTTTTCATATTGATTAAATGGCATATGTAACATAAAAATATTCTCAAAATCATTAACTACTGTCTAATAATACACCATGCTACAGTTTACTGAACATAGATCTGAATGTAAATAGCTGAATAATCAACAACTTTCGTACAAAGCAACCATATTTTTTCACAGGAAAAACCGCTTTGAGATCGATATACCCGGCTAAACTACATGACAACTGTAACGGTTTATCAAATAATCTGTCATATTCAATGACTACAGCTTTAAGAACAAGAGCTAGAATTTCTTGCGTAGACAATTTGGTGTATAAATAGTATCATTTTTCTCAGAAAATTTCTGGTACATTTTTAAAACATTATTTGTTTTTAACTTTCTTCAACCCTATCAGCTTTTTTTAAAACAATAAAAAGTGAAAAAAAAAATAATATCTAAAGTCATTTCTGCCAAATTTCAAAATACCATACCTGTCATTCTATTGAAAAGTGGTATTTAAGCAAAAAGAAACCAAGAAAAGGTGGAAAAAAATGCGGTGATAAATCTTAGAAGAAAGCTAACATTAGCTGCCTATAAGGTACTTCAAACGAAAAAATTGTAGAATAAAAAATGAAATTAATTTACTGAAATGATGTAATGATGATAATATGTAAAGACACAAAACAATGCTTCATCTTATGTTTTCAAAAAATCAAACTTGTTTTTCTGTAGTTTAGAAATAGAAAAACAAATTAAAAGCATTAGTTTTAATGCTATAATATATAGTACCATCAAAAAAATAAGAAATTTAATTCTCCTTCTATTTATAAAAGCAACAGCAGTGATAGCTTTAAGTTCAAATGTGCTATTTAAGTGCTTTTAGTTGTCCACAAATATTTATTTACTTTCTTTAAAATGAAGTTTTCCGTATTAATAGATTTTCGATTTTTATTTTTTGGCGCTCAGTAACCTTCTTTTACTTTTTCATATTCTTTTTTTCAGTTAAAATAGTCTACCTTAGTCCTCACATAAAATAGAAGTTATTTAAATTTTTTTTTCTTCTTCACTTGCTTACATTTCATAAAATACCGTTCCTTCTTCTAAATACTAATGATATCTTACTGTACGTTTTAAAGATACTTTTTTAGCCGTATTCTTCAAAAAATTATTTACAAAATAAACACTAAATCAGATTTCCCACTGACAAACAGAAAACAACCTATCGGTTTTATCGTTGTTTCATTCTGTATAAACCGCAATTTTTTTTATACCTATCCTCAAAATCACCGATTAATCTGTAATTTAGAAAAAAGTATAGCTGTCTTTTAAATTTTTTGTGTCTGAAAATTACAGTAAACCAGGAAAAAAATCGAAAAAGTTTAACAAATGCTGTAGTCGTTAAATAGGTTTAAATTTTTAGTAATAACACACATAAATAATAAAATATCAAAATGCTTCAAACTTGGATGGTTAATGAAATGAAAAGAATAAAGACAGAAAACTGTTGAAAACGAACAAATAAATTCAAACCAGAAAACAGTCTTTGTAGTTCAAAAAAAGGATAACAGGCTAACTTTGCGTAACGATAGACAGTCACTTTGATGGAAGCACATAAAACTATTATCGACTGTATCCTAACGTCAATGGGATTAATTGGCACTAAATGAACCTCGTTGAACAGAAAAACAAACATTTGAGGAACGAGATACAAGTTTTTTTCAAATCCTCAACCATTTACCTTAAAAGCTTCTTGTTTTCACTTCTTTTTTGCCGCAACAATTAAATAGATATTACTTTAAAAAAGAGTAACAGTGATGATATGTTTATTACAAAATGAGAAAACCAAAAGAAAAATTGAACAAGCGAAATTTAGTGCATTTTGATAAGTAGAATAAAGAAGGTAGAAAAAAAGCAAAAAAAAGCAAAAAAAAAATCAAAGAAAAAAGAGTTTTTGTGCTAAAATGGTAAAAAAGACAAGGTTAAAGAAGAAACTCAAAACTAACTTAAGCAACCTTATTCTTCAAAAAACAAAATTATTTAGATTTCAGTAGTACAATTATTTAGCCTAAAAAGACGCTGTTCTGTCAGAACTACACCGAATATCAGTTACGGCAATCATAACTGCAGATAACGGAAAGAACGAACCTGATGTAGGCCAAAGAAACGTTTCTTTTTCAAGTTTTTAAATAAAGTTTCCATTCCTTTCTTTTAGCTTTTAACTCAGTTTCATTTTAACCTATACGAAAAAAAAGAATTAAGACATTATACACACTATTGAAATTATCGTCTAAATGTCCTTCCTTAATTTCCTACAACACTGTTATACTTTTAAACATGCAACTTTTCCAACGCCACTGTGAACGCTGTTTCAAATATTGTCGTATTGCTGTCTGTGCTCGTGGACTGGACAAGGTATAGACAACGGGATTCAGTGCTGAACCTATGTAGTTTAACCAGATACTCACCATATATATCTGGTCTGGTATACACTTGCTGCAACAGCATATCTTTTGCCTTTTTCAGTCAACAAGTTAGTTTTTTTTTTGTTAACCGTTTACAGACCTGTATAAATAGATAAAAAAAAACTTCATTTTAATATAAAAATACAATAAAATACAAAAGCAATGAAGGTTAACTTACTTGCAATAAACTTTAATTGGCCATAACACCAAAAATGGTAACCAACATAAGAGAAAACAAAACAGTATCAATGCCACAGCTTTTGCAGCCCGAACCTGTAAACGTTTTACTATTATTCAACATTGCTCAAAAAAACTTTTTTCTTTCTTTTTTTGTCTCTATTTTTAAATGGCACGACCTTTAATAAACTGAAGTTGACCTTAATAAACAGTTAGTATCATTAGTTAGGCTTTTAACAGTAGAGAGAACAAGTTTCCAATCAATGGTAATCCAGTAAAGCTTTTTCAGTAGCAAACAAAGTTTTATAAGACAGCTTTATGATTCAATTATTTAATCTAAAATATACAAAAGGTTAAAACACTTTTTGCAGTAGATAACTGTCAAGTGTTGCAATAAAAGAACGTAATTATTGCTTAACATTAACATAGAGTATATGTAAAGTAGAAAGAAAAGCAAATTAAGATCAAAAAAACCTCATAAGATAATTTTCAGTTTTTTTCTCGAAATTACGTTGAAAAAATCAAATTGGCTGATTTGAAAAAATCAAATTGGCTGATTTGAAAAAATGATTTTGTTTTCAGACGCTTTGGAACAAAATAAATCGAGACAACTGCTAAGCGGAGTATTTCTTACGAACTTTCCCAAGAGAATGAAAAAGTGTACGCCCAGAATAATTTTAATCAATGTTAGCTAAGTTTTCAGTTTTATTAACAGTAAAATGACGTAAAAAGTTAATATTATATTTGCCATACAGAAAAAATATTAATATAGCATAATTAGAGTGATAAAAATTGCAAAAAAAACCTGTTGTGAAACTCCTTCTCTGTGTATCAATTCGAGAATATTATGAGGAAGTGGAATAATGCTAAATCGTCTAGATTCTCTCTTTGACCTCAAAAGAACTCGAGATGTTTTCCGGGATTCGTTAGAGTGTGTTTGGTTTGCCGCTGCCGAATCTGTGCTGTATAACGAAGATCGAAACCAATTAAAACGACTAGGCTTAAAGTGACAGAATTAGTTGAAATAGACTGCAAAAAAGTCACATTTTAAAACACTTGTCTTTTTCATGCATGATAAAAATTAAGCAGTTTTTGACAAATTAACAAGCTTCATTTTAGTAATTGCTTTGTTTATTTACCGTAACAAAAAAATTGTCGTCGCTTGTAGTTTTCCTCAGAACTGAGTCGCTTCGATTCACCAGTAGCAGTTCTCTAGCTTGAACTGACTGCTTTCGGCTTGAAACAGATGAACTACTTTGTATCCAAAGATGACTCAAGGAAGCACCATCTTTCTAAAACAGGCTCAGACATTTTGCAGAAATTCAGTAGTTATAGTAACAAGAAAGCAGTTTATTTCAAAGTCGGTTCTTTCAAATAAAAAAAAGTAAGAGTGAAAAATAAAAAGGCTTTTTTCTCCATAGAAATTTCTGCATATCTTTTCCTTTCCGTTTATTTGTCTTAAAGATTATTTCACAATGTTGTTTTACTCCATCTGTCAGCAGCAGTCTGACAACAATTTACTGTTTTCTAGCAAAAAAAAGAAAAGCAAAAAATAAGCTTTTAAACAAGTTTTGAAAAATTTAGAATTCGATAATTGAAAAAAGCCTTGCAATCAAAAATACAATAGTGAACCATGTACATAAATTGTTTATTATATAACTGAAAAATCACTTTCAAATCTTGCAGTTTTGGCACCGGCGGTTGGATTTGTTCAGAATGGCTACGTTCTCTGCCACTACTTCTTTCCTCGCTCAATGGTGCTAAATTCCATTCTGGTTTTGTAACCCTCGGAGACTGGCATCTTGGTGTTCGTACGGTTAATGTGCAGTACCCTAAATAATGCAATATGACAATTTATACAGTTTATGCTTAGAGTACATAAATTGATTCTAGCGATAAGTACCTGAGGTTACTGTTGGAAGACTATTGTCGGTTAATTTACGCTGCACATCTGGTGATTTGGTGAAAATCTCGCGCGTTTTGCTGTTTGAATTAGAATTTACAATCTGTCCCAACTCTGGATAAGCAGAACCAAATGCTGAGGGATTTTTGGCATTTTCTCGCAAAAATTTCATATGATGTTGCACGACCATTGCTATCCGTACAAACATCGTTATCTAAAACATAAGTCTGAGAAGTATGATTATGAACTAAGTCATATAAAGAAGTAAACTCAGTCATTTTCTTCTTTTTCTTTCTAAAATAGTTACTTAATTATTTACATGTAACTTTAAAAGAAAAAAGCAATGCTAAAAGCAAAAAAGCAAAAAAGCAAGCAAAGCAAAAAAGCATACCGCAATGCTTTACGCAGTAAATACATAAAATTAACTTATATCCGGGAAAAAATTATTAGCAACAGCAAAACTATTTTTTTTGCATTGGTTCTTAAAAACAGCAACTTATTAGTAAACGTAAAGTTGTTTTTTTTTTTTTTTTTTTTTTTTTTTAAAAATTT